TGGCGGCACAAGGCTGCAGGGATCTGCCCCCGGATCGGGGCCAGCCCAGGCTCTTGGAGGACTTGGGTCTCTTCCCCTCCCCACTGCATGGGGAGCGATGGAGGAAGCACCTGCAGGCCCTTGGTGCTGGGGGAGGCCCCTCTGCCCAGCGCCCCAGCCCCTTTGTGCGAGCGAGGCGGGCTGAGCTCTGGCCTGGGCCCCGGCCAGGGAGATGCTGCCCAGAGCTGCGCCCGGCCTGGGGCATGAATGCACAGGCCTCGTCCTGAGCATCGAGGACAGCAGGAGACTTCTCTTCTCCCAGTGCAGCGAAATGCCATTCCTGGCCTCGGCGCAGCAGCTGCAGCCCTGCTTGGTCACCCTGCCCTTCCCTGCCAGAGCAGAGCAGAGCAGAGCAGAGCAGAGCCCCTTCCCTGGCACAGAGGGGGTCACTGTCGGGCATGGGAGCAGCTGGTGTCAGGGCAGGAAGACCCAGGTTTGCCCCTGCCTGAGCTGGGCCCAGCGCCTTCCTGCCATCCCGTCTCTGGGTGCTGGAGGTACAGGGCGCTGGCACCTTACGTCTTCTTACCATTTCTTGGGCCTGCTTGGGGATTTGGGCTGTGTGGGGCCAGGGAGCTGGTCGTGCAAGCGGGCCTGGCTCCAGACAGAGAGAGCTCCCAGGGTGGGGATGGGATGTGCCCTGGGGTCAGCCCAGGACAGAGCAGGGAGCTGAGGACAGGACAGGCCCCTGCCCCAATCCCTGCCTGCCCAGCTCCTTTTCCAGCCCTGACCCACCACCCTGTCCTCTCTCACGGTGAGTTGGGGGGGTGCACCCTGGTGGGCTGTAGATGCAAATAACCGTGCGTTTTGGGGTGTCTTTCTCTGCCCTGGCATTTCCATGGGGGGCAGGCTGAGCTGGGCATGGGCATGTCTCTGGTCCCCATGTTGTGTCTGCATGTGTCTTGGGTGCAGTGCTCTGTGCACGGTGCACAGCTGCATGTTGCATGCATCTGGGTTGCATCTTGTGTGTGCTGTTCTGGGTCGGGGATATGTGTGTGTTCCTCATGTGGGGTGTGCTGTGTGCCTGGTGTTGTGTGCATGTGTGGGGATGCTCTGTTGCATGTCCTGTGCATGTGGGGGGATGTGTCCCAGGCCAGCCTGGTTTCAAGCAGTGAGCCCAGCCCTGCCCACTTTCCCAGGGCACACTGGCTTCCTCCCATGACAGGGCCTGGTGCCCGCCTCATTGGAGGCTGCAGAGCCAGAGTGCAGCTGAGCCAGAGCTTGGTGTTGTACTGGAAAACAGGGTTGTGAAAGCCAGCACCCTTGGGACAAGGGGGCGCAGTTGCACTGGGAAGTGGGGGCCTGAGTCAATAGGCTCCAGCACCTCACAGCACCCTCAATGTTCCCTTGCCCCAGGGCTTTGCCCCCTGCCATTTCTTCCCCAGCCCCTGCACTGCTGCTTATGCCAGGTCACAGCCCCTGCCATGCTCCCAAGAGGTGGCTGCATGTTGGGGTGGTAGATGGTGTTTATGCAGCCTCCATGAGTCTGATCCAGCCCCTTCTCTCAGTCTTAAGCAGAGCTGGGCTGTGCCGGGATGGCCATGCTGGGGTGGAAGGAATCTGCGACTGTTGACTGCAGTGCAGTTGGCTCCCAGTACCAGGCTGTGAAGGGCAGGGGCAAGGCCTTTGCTAGGATGAGCCCAGGCAGGCACTGATGCCAGGCAGCCGCTGGCACAGAAAAAGTGCAAACCTCCTTGCATGCACATCAGCATTTACTGCCAAGCCCCTGATGTGAGAGAGAGAGAGAGAGAGAGAGAGAGAGAGTAGGGGGGCTGGCACAGGCCATATGTCCTACTCACTGTGGTGGAGCATTGGCAGAGCCCTCTCCCCCTGCTCGGCCTGGGGCAGGCGAGGGGGCTCCAGGTGCTGGGCCAGGTCATTCTGTAAGAGGGTCATTGGCGCAGGTGCAGAGCAGGTTAGCTCCTAGCAGCAGCCCCAGGGTCCCCACTGTTAGTAACCAGCTCCATCTAACTGATGTCTCTGTCCCCCAGACTCTGAGGAGCACAGCCAGCACGGCCGGTGCTCGCGGTGCTGACATGGCGAAGGAGAACTCGGCCTTCTCTGCCGCACCTGAGACACCGGTGCGGGAGGCCAAGCCCCCACTGTGCGCCACGCCCTCCAAAGCACCTGCCCGGGGCCCAGGCGAGCCTGAGAAGAAGAAGCCGGTCAAGAAGCACCAGCGCCAGCGGTATGTGGAGAAGGACGGGAAGTGCAATGTGCAGCACGGGAATGTACGGGAGACGTACCGCTACCTCACTGACATCTTCACCACCCTGGTGGACCTCAAGTGGCGCTTCAGCCTGCTGGTCTTCATCCTGGCCTATGCCATCACCTGGCTCTTCTTTGGCCTCATCTGGTGGTTCATCGCGTACTGCCGCGGTGACCTCGACCACCTGGAGGACAAGGCCTGGACACCCTGCGTCAACAATCTCAATGGCTTCGTCTCTGCCTTCCTCTTCTCCATTGAGACGGAGACCACCATCGGCTATGGCTACCGCGTCATTACGGACCGGTGCCCTGAGGGCATCGTGCTGCTGCTGCTGCAGGCCATCCTGGGCTCCATGGTCAACGCCTTCATGGTGGGTTGCATGTTCGTCAAGATCTCCCAGCCCAACAAGCGGGCTGAGACGCTGGTGTTCTCCTCCCATGCCGTCGTCTCGCTGCGCGATGACCGCCTGTGCCTCATGTTCCGGGTCGGGGACCTGAGGAACTCGCACATCGTGGAGGCCTCCATCCGGGCCAAGCTCATCAAGTCCAAGCAGACACTTGAGGGGGAGTTCATCCCCCTCAACCAGACGGACATCAACGTGGGCTTTGAGACGGGTGATGACCGCCTCTTCCTGGTCTCGCCCCTCATCATCAGCCACGAGATCAACGAGCATAGCCCCTTCTGGGAGGTCTCCAAGCAGGAGCTGGAGAAGGATGAGTTCGAGATCGTTGTTATCCTTGAAGGCATGGTGGAGGCCACGGGTAAGGCTGGCATGGGACCTGGGCTGGGTCTAACTGGTGCTGACATTGGTGGCCATTGGGGTAGGGCAGGGTTTACATTGGAGCTGGTCTAGCCTCACACAGAGTCAGACCAGTTTTAGGGCCCAGCACAGTCTTACCTGCGATCTAGCCCAGGCTTGGGGCAGTGCATACGCTAGGCCAGGGGCGGGCAATTATTTTGGGCAGAGGACCGCTTACTAGTTTTGGTGAGCCATTGAAAGCCACATGACAGGCAGCCCAGGGCAGATAAATATTAATTTTCTAAATTTTTTAGGGAGCCAGGCTGGATAGAATGGTTTGGTGGGCCACTTCCAGCCCCCAGGCCGCATTTTGCCCACCCCTGCGCTAGGCCTAGATTGATCCCAATTGATCTAGTCCAGGTTTGGGGCCCATTTCAGGCTCCCACTACTCCCAACCCAGTCCCTTCAAGCCTCCCTGGGTCCAGGCCGGGTATGGGGTCAGTGCCTAGAGAAGTGCTTGGACCTGTCTCTTCCTGCACATTCACTCCAGGTTTTGAGCAGACCCAGGCTCGCCCAGTTAGGGGCAGAGGCTGCAGGTTTTAGGCTGGATCCCATCTGGGGTTTGGACTTTGACCATGAAGTAGAGTCCAGCCGAGCCCTGCTCCCCCTCCCCTCCCCCCCACCTCTTTCCCCTGAGAGCTGCTCAGCCCATGCCCTGGGCACTCACTCCTCAGCAGGATCCCCTGCCCTTTGTCTCTCCATGGGTTAGAGCTGGTACCACACATCTGCCATATGTCCCCTCCCCACACCCCTGCCTGATCTCCATTTCCCTGCTTGGCCCACTCCCAAAGCCCTGGGGTTCAGGTAACCTTGGATGCACTGCTGTTTCCATCAGCTTGAGCACTGGCCAGTGCCCCGCCACCTCAATTTCCCCAGGCTGCAAGGCTGTGGGAAGGGACCATTGCCTTAGGTGTACATGAAAGTCCCTTTCAGGGGGTCCCTGATTTGGGGGCAGGGATGACACCCCCATTAGTGTGGGGCTGGGCCCAGGGGCACCCTGATCATAGCTGGGTGTCCAAGCACCACCTTTTGCAAGCAGGAAAGGATGGGGCAATGTGGGGCTTTGGGCCATGGTGCAGAGGGGAGCTGCCAGCTCTGCTGCAGATCTCCAGAGCATCAAGGAAGCAGAGACACATTAGCCCAACTCTGCAGGCCTTGCACAGGGGATGCTCTGACCTCACACAGGGATGCGCTGACCTTGTGCAGAGGATGTGCTGACTCCATACAGGGATGCACTGACCTTGCACAGGGATGTGCTGACCTCGTACAGGGGATGTGCTGATGTTGCATGAGGGATGCACTGACCTTGCACAGAGGATGTGCTGATTTCATACAGGGATGCACTGACCTCACATGGGGATGTGCTGACCTCGTACAGGGGATGCACTGATCTCTCACAGGAATACGCTGACCTCACACGGGGGATGTGCTGATGTTGCTCGGGCAATGTGCTGACCTCACATGGGGATGGGCTGACCTCACATGAGGTGTACTGACCTCACACAGAGGGAGCACTGAGATTGCACGAGGGATCCTCTTGCGGACTCTGCAGCCCCTCAGAGGGTTGCCATGGGTGTGACATGGTAGTCAGCCCTCCTGCAGTGGCCCTGACTCCCTCAGCCCTTGATCTCACAGGACACAGCCACGGCCCCAGATGAGCTGTATCTGGCACGATTTATAGTGGCCCCTGACACATGCCCATTTTGTGGGCAGAGGGAGACCCCGACGCACGTGTTCCTGGAGTGCACCAGGATGCAGGCCCTGCACCTTCTCCTCCAGAGCCTTTTATTGAGGTTCTGGCTTCACTTTTCCCCCCACTTGTTTATTTTTTCACACCCCACCCATGGCCCCACCAAAGCCAGGATCTCCTGGTCTGCCTCCTCCTAGCCCTGGCCAAGCTGGCTGGTCACATCACCAGGAAGGAGGCTCTGGCCAGGAGTGTTCCTGGGGATTGTGGGGCCATTTTCCTGGTTTTCGTCCAGTCCCGTCTCTGGGCAGAGCACCACTGGGTGGTAGCTGTTGGTTCACTAGCTGCATTTGAGAGTTGGTGGGAGGTGTCTGCTCAGTGCCCCCCAAGGGTGTACTTGTTTTGACCCTCTGACCTACACGCATGTTCCCTTTTTTCATTTGTTGTTCCTCGCAATCAATTGTGCCAGTGTCTCTCACCACCTAATCGGCAGCTCTAGTAAAATAGTGGGCTAGTGCCATGTAACAGCTGAAACAAATAGACCACTGCCCCAGATCACAGTGTCCTTCTTCACTTAGCCTGAAGCTGTGGCCCCAGCAATTCTGTGCCTCAGTTTCCCCACCCATGAAACCCCTCTGGAAGCCCCAGCTGAGTCCAGGGCCGCACCATGCTGCACAGCTACACACCATCTCCTAAGAAGCTCCTAGTGCAGCTGAAGCAGGAGCGAGGCCTGGAGAGATGGTGGAGAGGCCCAGAATCACTCTGTGGGGCAACAGCAGTGATCATGGCAGGAGCCAGTACTCCAGGGGCCCAAGGAAGAGCCTTAGCCACTAGACCAGGCTGCCATCCAGAGACTGGCTGATGCTACAACTAAGGGCGCTGAGGACACGCTCATTCAGCCTCCCGGGTGCTTGGGGGCTGGCTGGACAGGGCCACGGCTGCCTGGCAGCTCCAGCCTCTCGGGTGCTTTTCCCAGGCTCAGGGACGCACACGGTTCCTGGCTGCCAGGAGCAAGTGCGGAGCCAGCAGTGTGCCCCGCCATCTGCCCACAGGCACCGGGCACCCTGCCCAGCATAGCATGGCCCCGGAGCCCAGCACAGACACTTGTCACCTCCTGGCGCAGAGCTCAGGCAGGCAGGGAGGCTCTCGGCCTGCCACGTCTTAGTGCACCCAGAGTTAGACCCTGTCCTGCCCTGCAGAGCTTTGCTGTCCCAGGATACCAGCCTCCCTTGGGACAAGCTCTATCTTCCCAGCCAGATGCTGGAGACACGCTCAGAGCATGAGGCGCTGATCCCACCTGGGTGTGAGCCCAGCTCCCTGCACAGACCTGCAGAGCCAGGTCTGGGTGCTGAGGCAGCCAGGAGGGGATGCTGAAGGGCATGGGCTGCCTGCTAGAGTAGAGCTGGCCCAGAGCAAAGCCCCATGCACCAGCTGCCTCAGAGCCCTCACCCCACCCACTGCACCATCAGTTGCCAGGGACTGGGAAGCTGAGCCTGGACCCCCCCACCCCAGCTGCAATGTCCTCCCTGGGCTGGGGCTGAGCCCCTGGCAGGATTGGGCCCTGAGAGCGAGCACCTGCTTTGTTGGGGGGCTGAGGGGGAGCTGGTCGGGCTGCTCAGCTGCGGGGGCCCGAAAAAGCTGGGCTGCAGGCACCCGTGAGGCTGGCAGCAGCAGAGCAGGAGCCGGGAAACTGCAGGCTCACAGCCCCGCCAGTGCCACGTGGCCCCAATCTCCGTGTGCACTGGGCAGTGCTGGGGAGGGTGTGGGGTGCAGGGGTCCTTGTGAACACCCGGTAGGGTGGCTGGTGCCACTGGGGCTCAAGGATTTATTCCCTCCCCCCCAGCTCCTGGTCTCTGCAAGGGGTCAGAGCTTGCTCCCAGGCGCCTGCCCCCCGGCCACCTCCTGCCGCGTCTCCTGGGGGCTTTGCCAGGAGAACCGGAGCCTTTTATTTTTAAACCTTCTCCACCCACTGCAGTTACATAACCAGAGGCTCGAGTGCAGCATTCGTCACCACAGTAACCAGCGGCCCTGTCATCGCAGAGCATCTCTCTGGCCTCCTCCACCCCGGACCCGCACTCCTCCCTACCCCCCACCCCAGACAGCCCCGGCTCCTGGCCCTGATGCAGGGAGGTGGGCAGGGGGCTGGGGCTGCATTGCATCACCCGCCCAGCTCCTCCGTGGCCTGCCTTGCAGGAGATCCCGAGCCCCTAGCCAGGCACTGGACCCCCCTGCCAGTGCTCAGAGCTGGCTCCCCACAGCCTGCCCCCCTGCCCTGACCCTTCCCGGCTCCCCGCAGACCCATGTGGAACGGCCCTGGGCACATCCGCTCATGGCTGTGGGTGACGTGCATGTAAGCTCAAGAAAGCTTCTGCTCCAGATGGCTCTGATGTAGTTAGTCTCTAAGGTAGTGATGCCTATGTTCTACCACAGGGATTACCCAGGCTCTGGGCTGGGCTGGGCTGGGCTGGGCTGGGCTGGGCTGGTTGTCGTGTCCCCCTCCCCCCACTTTCTGCTCCATTTGTCAGGCACTTTGTAAGCCTCCCCCAGAGGCACTTGGTGTTGGTTGCAGCCCAGGCTGGGGATGGGGACTGGCCTGTGCCAACGCTCCTGCTGGGATCAACACCAGAGGGTCCTGGCTGGAGGGTCTTACCCCTCTGCTCAGGGTCACACTGATGCTGCATTGGGGTGAGGAAGGAATTTACCCCCTTGGTCAGATTGATATGGGTGTGTGTGTGTGTGTGTGTGTGTGTGTGTGTGTGTGGAGGGGTTGCCTTCCTCTGTAGCAGGGGCACGACTTCTGCTTGGGATCTCTTGAGTGTATATTAATAACCCTTGCAACAGCAGGATGTTGCTGTCGTGCTGCTTTCCCTGGGGCCCATTTGGGTGAGATGTCCGGTGCGGTGTCAGGGATGACTGTGTAGTTTTGCTAAGAGTTGAGTTGATGGGTTTATCTGGGATGTTTTAGACAGGGTTGATCCTGCCTCAGGATGTGACCCCTGGAGCTCCCTTCCAGCTCCATGGCTCTGGGATGCTATGAAATCTACCCTGCCTGCTGCAGAAACCCCTGCTAGCCGGGCCTGGTTAGGGAGATGGGTCAAGGGCACGTGCTGCGTATTCATGCCGGTAGATGGCACTCATGCTCCACCAATGCCTTTGAACTACCAGCACCCCCCTACCCCCAGCACAGAGGGGAGGCTGGAACCGGCCATCCCAGCAGAGCTCACAGGGACCCAGCGTGGCCAGGTCTGCACCCCCACAGCGTGGCCAGGTCTGCACCCCCACAGCCGGTTCCCTTTTCCCTCTCCCAGGGAAACTGCACATCAGTGCAAGGGGGAATCCCTGCCCCTTTCTGCCCCTGGCTCGTGCATCCCTGCCTGTCTGTGTCCCTGCAGCAGCAGAGGCACTGAGGACCCCCAAGGCTGGGGCCTTGTGGGGATTAGGGCCCAAGTGTCCTTCCACCAGGCTGACTCAGTGCTTCCACTGCGTGTGTGAGAACTGGCTGTTCCCCACCACCACCCCCATGCCTGGAGCCAAGGTGCTGGTACTATTGATAGAAAAAATTGTCTGCATGGATCTTGGGGCCACCCCGGTCGGGTGGCCGATGGCGGTACCGGCGTCCGGCTGGTGACCGGACAGATGACTCACAGGAACAAAAAAATCTTCAGGGGCCGCCACTCTACAATTGGGCGGCTGGGCTCCCAAAAGTTACGTAAACATTGCGTGGGACAACTAAAAGAAAACAGGGTGTGCGTGTGGGGTCAAAGGTTCAAAACAAGTGCTCCCCCGGGGGTCAGTGAGCAGAGCACCCCGAACAGCGCCCACCAGCTGACAAACTGCTTTAGCTTGCCGGCGGCTACTGCCCAGTGGTGCTCTGCCTGGAGACGGGCGTGAAGGACACCAAGGAAAAACGCCCCGAGGTGACCGGGAGCCTTCCCGGCCAGAGTCTCCTTCCTGGATAGCCAGATAACCAGCTTGGCCAGAGCCAGGAGGAGGTTGACCAGTTGGTCCCGGGCCTTGGTGGGGCGACGCTGGTGATGGGCTGCAGTGCTGGGTGGTGCCAACCTGCTGCTGGGCTGCATCTCATCCAGCCTCCACTGCCCCTGCTCCTTCTCTCTGCCCCATCCCTTTCTCTAATCCCCTCTGGCTCCTTCTCCTCCCCAACTGTCTTCTCCTGAACCCAGCCCCTGTCCCAGGAGCTCCCCCTTGCAGGGACACCCGCAGAGCCCAGTGCAACCAGTTGCCCCAGCCCTGCAGGCACAGCGTGGCTGCCCACACTCAGGCTCTTGGTAGCAGTTTCTCTTCTGCTGAAGGTTTGGTCTCAAGTCAGTTGCCAGCTGCTCAGAGACAGGGTGTTCCAGGCCCACCCCAGGCACTGGCTCCAGGCCCAGTTTGTCCAGTTTGCCAGACTGGGATGCAGTAGGGAAGCCAATGTGATGGCAGGGCAGAAAGACGCCACCCCATGTACCATGGCATCCTGGACCTCATCAGAGGTGCTGTCCCCACACTGACAGAGCGCTCAGCTCCATTCCCTTTTGCTCCCAGATCTGATCAGATCTGATCCCCATATGTCAGAGAGGAGACAGAAGAGCTAGGGAAGGTCCAAAGAAGGACAAGGATGATGAGTGCTACGGAGGGGCCTCCCAAGGAGGAGAAACTCCAGAGGCCAGGCCTGGTCAGTTAGAAAAGAGATGATGAGGGGGGACAGGGGAAGGGTTTCCAAAAACTAAATGGCAAAGAGAAAGTCAATAAGGATCGATTGTTGACTGTCCCTCACCACACAAGAAAAAGGGGTCACAACATGCAACTGGTAGGTAGTAGGTTTAAAACTAACACCAGCAGGTCTTCGTCACACAACATGTAATTAAACTGTGGGGCTTGTTGCCACCAGACATGGGAGAAGCTGAGAGTTCAGCTTGATTCACAAATGGATTGGACCCTTTCTTGGCGGAAAGGGGCAGCGGTTGCTATTGAGCATGGGGATGAGGGGCACGGCCTCTGAGTCAGAGTTTCCTGGACCTGACATGCTGGAGGCTGCAAGGGAGTGAGGAACTGGGGAACAAACCCTGGTCAGACCCAGATCACAATCCCCGTTCAGCAACCTTTGGAGTTGGGCCTGGAGGGATCCCAGACCCCTTTGGATATGTTTGTGAGCATGGCTGCAGGAGTCTCGGCCAGGTCACAACAGGGTCACCACAATACTGACCTGAAGGCAGTTTTCCTTAAGCCCCTGGGGGATAACTGTTTTTCTGGCGTGGTTTAGTACCTGTCGAGGTGTTGGGACTTAAAGCCCACTTTATGGAAATGGGAGGCTCCTCCCTAGTTTGCTCCTGCAGCCATATGGCTGAGGCAGGCAAAACTTGGGGGCATCTGAACTGGGCTTGGGCCTGCACGTAGGATGCCTGCCAAAAGACTTTGGAAATATCTGAAGCCCCTGGTGGGGGTGGAGGATGTTTGCCTGTTGTAGGGCCACTGATGGTTCTGGACTGACTCATGGATTTGGACTTGATTTGGCTGATTTGGCTTGGGACACAAAACATTTCTAAAATTCAAAAAAAAAAAAAAAAGAAAAAAGGTCACAACAGGGCCCAGTTGGAGCTGACAGTGGCTGTGTGTGGAGGCAGGAGCCAGGCAGGCTACACTAGTGCCAGCTCAGCCCCGTGGCTATGGCTGCAACCCCATTCGGCCCATCAGGAACTGCCCTGCTCCATGCCTGGACCCGCTGCCTGGCCTTGCTGCCCCTGTGAGCCACACCAAGCCCACTCCAGCCAGTGGAGCTAGGGAGGGCCAGAGCTGCCCATAGCCCCAGGTGGCAGGCCCTGGCAGGGTGTGAGTGCATGGCCAAACTGGCTCTTGGGATAGGGGCAGGGCTCTCTCTGCACCGATGTAGCCCCCAAACCGGCTGGCCATGGGCAGTTTCCCAGCCTCTGAGAGTCCTCTGGTCTGGAGCAGGGGCTCCAGGCTGCCCCGGTGTTTGCATAATGGCAGGCTGAGAATTTGGAAAAAGGGATCAAGGGGATGGGGTGAAGTTAGGATTGGGCCCTTGGCCTCGGGCTAGGAAGAGAGGCTGAGCAGCCTGGCTCCGGCAGGATCAGGCCCTCATCTCCAACAGATAGCAGGAGTGGAGGAGGATCAAAGGGGAGGGTGACTGCACCTCCACCTTTCCCTGGATCCACCCCTGTAGCTGGACCAACCCCAGCCCTTCCCCGAGTGACCACAGGCAACAAGATGAGGGGGTGTCCACCCTGCCAGACAGCTCCCCCCTCAGACAAGAGCTCTCTGGAGGGGAGGGGAGGGGAGTGACAAGGGGAGCCAGCCAGGGGAGGGACAAGGGTGCTGACCCTTGCAGCAGGGAGGGGCAAGGAGCCAACCCCAGCTGGGGCTAGCCCGGCTTGTGCTGAGACCTCCCAGTCCTGGGGCGCGCAGGCCTGCATGAGTCCTGGTTGCAGGACAGCGCTTGGCTGAGCCAGCCGCAGGGAGTCTGGCCGGCACCAGGCCTCTATGCCTGCTGCTGCAGCTGGTGGCCTGCTCACCCACCAAGTGATTTCCCTTGCATGGGGGTTAGGTTAAACCTCATGGAAGCACAGACCTGGCAGAGCCCAGGGGGACCAGCCGGGTTGCTCACTGGGTACCGCATAGACATGGGGCCCTGATCAAGCCTGATCTTCCCAAAGAACCAGGCACCCACCAGTGCAGGTAGGCTCTGACCATACCCCATGCCCCCATCCCCGTCTGCAAGAGCCTCAATGCCCAGACCCCCTCCTGAAAAGCCAGGGCTGGGGCCAGGAAAACAAGGCATGGAGCGTGGATGGGACTGGCCTGGGGTTCCCTAGCCGGAAGCCTAGGATTCCTCCTCCAGGCTGGACCATGCACCCACGGCTGTGCTGTCTCTGCAGGGATGACGTGCCAGGCCCGGAGCTCCTACCTGGTGGACGAGGTGCTGTGGGGCCACCGGTTCATGTCGGTGCTGAGCCTGGAGGACGGCTTCTATGAGGTGGACTACAACAACTTCCACCAGACCTTCGAGGTGAACACGCCCAGCTGCAGCGCCCGGGAGCTGGCCGAGGCTGCGGCCCGCAGGGATGCCCACCTCTACTGGTCCATCCCCAGCCGGCTGGACGAGAAGGTGGAGGATGGGACAGAGAAGGAGGCGGGCGGCACCGAGCGCAACGGCAGCCTAGCCAACGCCGAGAGCGAGTCCAAGGTGTAGCCAGGCAGCGTCCGGGTGCGGTGGGGCTGGCCAGGCGGCAGGAGGGCAAGAGGAGTGATGGAGGGAGCAGGGGGAGGCAGCCTCATAGGGCAAGCGTGCAGTAACCCGGGCAGGCGAGGGCAGGGCATGAGCTGGGCTGTGGCCAGAGGGGCAAAGAGGGACGCCGTGTGCAGGACAGCCATGCAGGGACGTGCCCCTGGGCACCAGCAAAGGGCTGGCAGGGGGCACTATCACAGCTGGGGGCATTCATGTGATTGCAGGGAGCCAGTGGGGTGTGATAGCGATAGTGGGGGTGTGATAGGGCAGGGGGGCATTTATGGCAGGGAGACGAGCCTCTGACAGTGGTGGAGGGCAGGTGGAGCAGCTGTGCACCTTGTCCAGGTGCATGGTCTGAGGCCTCAGGAGGAGGCTGGGGCCTAGAGGGATGTGGCGGAGGGCAGGAGCTGGGAGCAGCTGGCTGCAGGGATCCCAGTGGCTGGAGGGGGTTGTGCATTAGCTGCAAGGGAGGTAGGGCTGGTGCTCAGACGTCCAGGCCGGGCATTGGGTGCTGAGGCTAGCAACTCTGCACCATGTGGAGAAAAGCAGGATTCACCCCCACACCCAGGTCATGGTTGCTGGGATGGACAGACGCAGCAGGGACGCAGGACAGATGAGGCCGGGCTGCAGCAGGGCAATGCCCAGGGGCCCGCGAGCTGCCCCTCTGACCTCCCACACACAGCCCCGTGCCCGGCTCGGCTTGCTGCCTGCTCTTCCTTTGAATAAAGAGGTTTTGGACTGGACGCTGTGCCCAACCCTTGGCTCCTGGAGCTGCCCTCACATCCCCACTTGCGGGTGAGGACATGGGTTCAAACCTGCCTCCAGCAAAGGAGGAACTTGGTCCCCTGCAGCATGGGAGGGTACTGGGTATGGGGCACTGCGCCCTCAGCTGGATGCCCTGGTAGCAAGGGCACCCCCTGCTAGCCTTGCATGAAAAGGGCCTCTCCTGCCTCCCCAGGGGCTGTGGGTGCACAGGGCTCTGAGGCGCCTCCGTGCAGGTGACAGAGCCCAGAGAGGAGCAGGTGCCAGGACCCCCTGGCCCAGCACCCGCTGTGGCATCCACCAGCCCCTGCCTGAATGCCATTCAGAGGCCTAGACCTCCCAGGAGCGGTGCAGGGACCTGGGGCCGCTCTGGGCTCCAGAGACAGCAGGGGAGTGGGCGGAAGAGGCAGCCACACCAGGAGCATCCTTGGCCACCCCAAAGCCCTTGCTGCTCCGCTGCTCCTGAGGGTCCCTGGCTCTGTGCTGCCTGACAGTGCCCTCTGCCCTGATGCCAGGGCCAGTCCCCACAGAGGATGCAGCTTGGGGGGCAGGTGTGGGGGGGTGGCCCCCTGCCCCCAGGAAAGCCCCTTTGAGCCAGGCCAGGATGGCTGTGCCCAGCCCTGTGTGGCCCCAACCCCACAGCTGCCATGTCATCAGGGTGCCTGTTTTCAGGAGGGTGCAGCATGAGACGCATATGGGCTGAGCCCAGGGGTGCTGAGCACCTGTTGTAGCAGGACACTGCGTGCCAGAGTGCATGGGAGCCTGAGCACTGGTGTCCCTGGGGGTGGGGGACAGAGCGGGGGCTCCTGGGAGAGCAGAAAACTCAACTGTAGCCTCTGTGCAGGAGCAGAGGCAGAGCCCAGAGCCTGTGCCCTGGATGCCACACATGCCACTGTGAACCCTAGCCCCTGCTGTGGTCTGCAGCCACCTCTCACCACCCCGTTATCAGTTCCTCTGGCTCCCTCTCAAAGCTGGTTGGGTTGTTAACCCCCTGCCCCTGCAGCCTCCATGTCCCTGGGAATGCCAGGAGCTACCTGGCTGTGGCTGCATCCCCTCCTTGCCAGCTGGCTGCACAGACCCTCGCCTGAAGCTGTCCGGACGTGCTGGGGTCCGGCTGGACACACCTTAGGGAGTGGAGTCGTGGGCAGAGGACCTCAGGGAGCAGCCTCCTTCTCAGCCCTGCCCCTGCTGCGGGGCCTGTGCTGTGCTGCTGGCTCGGCCCTGCCGTCTGACTCTGCTCTGTGCTGTGCTTCGGTTTCCCTCTCACCCAGTGCCCAGCAAGCTCTTGGGGGCTCCCTGTGTGCGTGGCTAAGTCCCCTCCCCACCAGATAGCATTATAATGGGACCAGCAATGGCTCTGCCTGCTGTTAGCTCCCCAGGCCAGGCACCAGGCACCATGAACCCTAGAGCCCATAGGGCCCAGCCCAGTGCCCGTCCCTCGCCCCACTGGCTCTGTCTGGTACAGACCATCCCTGACCTAGTTTCCCACTTGCAGCGGAGAGGCTTGCGCTAGCTAAGGCATGGAGGTAGCAGTCAGGAGCAGGGCCTGTTGGGTCCCTTCTCCATGTGGCACCAAACATGGGGGTCCGGCTGGGTCCGACATGGAGCCAGGTCTGCCCAGAGATGGCTCTGAGCCTGGAGCAGCCTCCTGGCCATTGCAGAGACCAACCCAGCAATGCCAGCAGGGGTCTGCAAGGAGCACAGGCTATGGGGGTGTGGAGCAGGGGAGCTGGGATGGCCCCCATTTGCAAATGGAGCCGTTACATGGACCCATGTCCCCCACCCGGGGCAGCTGCACTGTGGTGATGGGGTCAAGGTCTCAGCCCTCGCTGGTGAGCTGTGCTCCTTGTGCAAACACTGCACAGCCCTCCCCCAGGCAGGCTCAGTCCCTGCTGAA